ATGCGCCTCATTTGAGGATTTCGCCTCATATGAGGCTTTTTTGCCGCGCCGTTTCTGGCGCAAAGAGGGAGAACTGAAAGCCATAGTTGCTGCGAAACAGTAACAGTAAGAGTAAAAAACAATGTCCAAGTCCCTTGAAGGCACCTAGAATGCACGGTATTTAGGAGGGTCTTTCTAATGCTCTGACAGACAGGAAAAATCCTCATGATCAAAAACGTCCGCCCAATAGACACTAGTACCGGTACCACCTTGCTCACATGAGCAAGGTGGTACCGGTACTACTGGGCGGTAGCAGGGCACTGTGTGTTGCTGGCGAACAAGGCGGCGAGCGACGGATCATTTTAGGGTGCGGCTTCCCCCGCGTGACGATGTATGTCGCAACGCTCTCGAGATCTCGCCCCCCTCCTTACTGCGTGACGTCAGCCCCTTGTTGACCACAGGTCATCACGTCGCGCACTGTAAAGGGCTTGTTGCAGGTACTGTACCACCTGCTGGCGAGATCTACACAACAAGCAGATGCTTTATCAGTTCTACTTGGAGTTCTACTTGGAGAACAGCTCCGGAATTAACGAACACCGACAACGGAAGTAGTCTAAAATGCACAACAGTGGTAACAGCCAGCCACTCACGCTCTCAGGCAACAACCGCAAAGCGACTTCATCCCCTTGTCCTCCTCCGTGCTCTCCTTTTCCGCCGTCCTCCTCAGTCCGTTCTATATGACCGTTTTCCTTTTCTTCTCCCTACTGCATTCCTGCGACGTCCTTTCAATCCCTCGTTCTTCCCTTCTTCTATCCCAATGGGTGTCTGACTTGCCATATTCCTCTACTGTGCCCGAATTACGACTGATCACGGGGTACACGAGCGCTACGAATCGTCATGCGATGATGACCGCCGGCCGAACGTCCTTTCCTTCCTACAAATACAATACAGAGTCCGGTATCCTGGTGAACTCTTCTAAAATGCGGACGTGGCTCTTCACTGCACAAGTGTACGACACCTTATTCCCAGATTCGGACTGCTCCCGGTTACAGGTATGACACGTACAACACCCATGTCATCGATTCTGTAACAGGCTCACCAGAAATGCTATTTGCAACCTCTTCGCTTCCGTCAGGTTCGCACACCAATCCGTAAACTTTACTCAGTACAGTTCAACCCGTTCCCAACGCAATCCCAACCTCAACCCCAACCTTTGCCCCACTACCAGCCTGAACTCGCGCTCCAGCCCCCGCCTAAGAGCCAGGCCCAGGTTCAACCTCAACCTCAGCCTCAGCCCCAGCAGCCCCAGCCATACGCAGCGCAGCCCCTGGTGACCTCAGTTCCCGGCCTGTCTTCTTCTATTGTCTCGAGTGCAGTCTCCCGGCTTCTCTCAATGGATATCTTCCCAAATTTTGTACGTTGAAAAAATACTTCTGAGCCGCAACGTTCGCCTCTGAGTTCTGAAAGAAAGAAAGATATTGTAGAGCATGCTCTTGTATAGTCCAGTATATGATTACGTCCATCAAAATTGCAATCTGAGGAGCGCGGGACCTTTCTTGAAATGTCCAATTTGAGAATAAGGCAGTCTAAACTTTTGGGCCCATGCGTCCCAACATGCAATATTGCACAATGCGGTCTCAAGCACTCACACGCCCCCACACAACCGCTGCCCTTCAAACACTATCTCCACTATCTCAGCAGCATCTCCGTCTCCCCAGGCGATATATCCCTTGCCTCTCACCGCGAACGTGTGCCTAGATCTAGATCACCACCTCAGACGATCCCATGGGAAGGCTCTTCATTTTACCTCCTGTCCGTCTCCCTCCCCATTCTCCGTTGCCTTCTCCACCGCCGTCATTGCCATTGGCGACGAGCGGCTGCTCGTACTTGATCTTCACTCCAGGTAAGTTACGAGCAGCTGAGCGCAACGCTTACTGTTCTTCGCGAGAACGTTGTCGGCTCGATTTCGACATCACTGCATGACATTGGTGTACAGTATTGCACAAGGCGTGACTGGCGTTAGGCAATGGGCAATGGGCAATGACAAGCAACTAGGGGGGCCATAGATTCACCCCGTAATCATAACGGAGCATGTTTCTTCTAAGAAACATGCATACATTAACGTTGTCCGTAAAGTCACGAAAACGCGTGTTTTGGCAGCGGGTTTGCTCGGATTTTCTGAACGCAAAATTTTCAAACAACGCGATGGCAAAACTCACAGCATATCGAAAACTGGGGGCATGTGAGTTTCCCACGAGTTTCACATCCGCCTGATCACAGCAGTGCCAGATCGACCGGTCGTGAAGAAAAACGAAGTGGGTCTTCCGTTCTTTTCATCAGCACAAACGAGTCCCAGACTGCACGGGTCGTAGCGATATGCCATATGGACGCTCCTATCGCTTCATCTGCGCAGAGTCCATCAATGGATCAAAGCGCGACAGGATCTGCCACAAATGCCGCCGAAGCAACCGCGAAAGATAGGCAAGTAGAAGCTTCTAAAAAGCGGTCCTCTCCAAACGGCCCCCCTCAGCCTGTCAAGAAGACGAAACACACCACCCTTTCGACTGAGAACCTTTTTATCCTTGTGGCGAGCTACAATATTCGCTTCAGCGAGTATTCGCGCAGGTGCATTTGATCCGTCGGGCGGCACAACGATGTACCAGACTTGCCTTTGTTGCGGGCAGGTACCTTGTTGGAGGTCAGTCCGCAAAACTCGCGGTGGATTTTTTCAAACTCGGGTTTACTTTACGTCCAGCGAGTTTGTGGGCAAATGGAAAAAAACAACGCGTTATTTTACGGACAACGTTATTAACGTTAATGGGCCTGGAGCGTGCGGGAAATCTCGATAATAGCCATATTATTGAAATGCCTGTTTTAACAGAACAGGTACCATTCTGGGGCCTATAATTTCTCAAAGGCGTCATCATCATTAACTACTGCATAGTCATCTACAGCTGCTTTCATATCCGCGTAGAAGACCATAGAATCATTGCACGTCCAACCTAAATTACTATTAGGCACAATTCCAGCTTGCACCGGAAAGGGAAGAGCAATGCGTGTCGTAGAAACTACGTCGTCTGACGATTTCTTCCGGAATTCTTTCAGGGCGGACTCGAACCCCAATATCTTCGGATGATAGGGCTCGAGCCGGCCTGGAATGTCACGCATCAGCCACTTCCGGTGCAGCTGGCATTTACTTGTAGGTGTCCACCAGTAATTTTTTGGAGTCCTCCATTATGGTAACATGCCCTAATCGTATTAGGCCACTCTCAAACTTTCTCTGACCGAGGCGATACGGTACCGTTGGTACTGTACCCTTGGTACAGTCAACCACACCGAGTAGTGCATCCCCATGCAAGGTTCCAACAACATGCAATACTCGCATCTTGCACTAATGAATGCCACACAAAATACTCGTTTACAAGCGTCTGGCGCCTCTCGGAACGACTCTGCTCAGCGTATGCAGTTAGCAACTCGCGCCTTGCACGGTGCAAATGACAAACTGCATCCTCGATACCCGAATTGTTCACCATTTCCTCCACTCCCGTAAAGCAGGCAATTACTTCCTCAAAACCTGGAATAACACACTCATTTGATTCTATCCCTTTGGTTCCATCTGCACTCGTCTTTTCATGCTGTGTTGTCGTTGTGTCGGTGCCCTTGCGTGTCGCTGGAGTAAGACGGAGAGGATCTGTGGGGTCTGTTGGAAAGGATGATCCGTTTACTGTTGGGCATCTTCGTGGCCGCGTCCTCATCTAGGACAGGTGTCTAACAGCGATGCAAGGTATGATAACCTGTGTTCACCGAAAACCCCCTGCATTACTATTGGGCGAGTCCTCTCTGTACTGCAACTTGTCCTTCACCAATGCCGCCCCACGATTGGCTGCCTCTGTCGGACGCCACGCCTGGAAAAACACTGAATACAGTACTGTACATAACTGTATGATTCCACATCTTGCCCCCTCCCACAGCGAGGAGCCTGTCACACGGATCGCAAGCCCTACCTTTCAAAGGTAATTTGTTTATTGGGCCATTTGTGAATTTGCTTATTTTACGGCGACTGATTGCTCCTACGATACTGGGCGAAAGATAAATATCTAGACTGGCATCTCGCCCGCTCCCCACTGCCATCTGCATTTGTTTCTCTAACAAATACAAGAGTAAGCAGACCCCGTCCCCTCCCACCGCAAACAGCCTTCTCCTTTCTGCACCCAACACCCCCTCCCCGTCTCGCATCCCGCTGCCCGCCATGTGTCAAATGAGCCATCCCGATGGGATTGACAAGGTTCGTCTCCGCTTCCTGCACCTTCCTTCACGTTTGCACCCTTCTATTCCCGCCTCTGACCACGCCTAAACTCGATGCGCTACCCCAGGAAATGTCTATGATCATCCTCGCTATCAACGTGTTCTTCCCCGGCGTCGGCACCATGATCGCCGGCTGTATGGGCACAAAAAACAATTGTTCCACCATAACCGTCGGCATTCTCCAGCTGCTGCTCTCCGTATTCTTGATCGGCTGGATCTGGGCCATCATCTGGTCGGTCATGCTCTACAAAAAGGTCGCTAAGCAGAACGTTCCGACCACCCATAACCAGCAGACCCAACACCACACCCAGCCGCAACCGCAACCGCCGCACAAGCCCGCGGAACCGCAGCAGGCCTATGTCGAGCAGCCCTACGTTGCGCAACCCTATGTCGAGCAGCCCCACGCTCCGCAACCGCCGCACAAGCCCGAGGAACCGCAGCAGCCCTATGTCCAGCAGCCCTACGTTTCGCAACCCTATGTCCAGCAGCCCTACGCCCCGCCACCACCGCCGCCCGCCCCATTCACACACGCACCCCCGCAGTTTACGGGACCGCCGCCGCCGCCGGCCCAGCAGTGATGTTCGACTTTCGGGAGAAAAAGGAGCGTGCGTAGTGGTGGTTGTTCAGACAAACGCTGAGAGTGTTACCGACACGAAGTTGTTTTTTATCGACGCGTCATCGGCGACGTTCAGAAATGGTCGCCTCGTCTCCGACATTGCTCGCGATACCTTCCATGGAGACAGAAGGGTGTACCCGTACTCATATGTCTTCTGCAAGCATCAAACTCTACAATGGCAATGGTACAGTATTCGTAGTCTGTAGAAAAGATGCGAACGATACGTGTAGGCTTCGAGTGTTTTTAACTGTTTCGCAAAAAAAAAAATTTCGTTATACAGTACTGTTAGGAATGCTGTAAGCCCAGCGCCCAAGGATGTACACTGCACAGGAAAGGGCGCGCGCGGGACTTGCGCTTGGAGGACAGGGCGAAGCGAAGCGCGCAGCATTGCGTTTGGACGAGGGCGGGCAAGGAGATCGTGAACCGCAAGCGGAGGACTGGGCGCAGGAATGGGCCAAGAGAAGACTGGCGGGCTACGTGCGAGGGTTGCGATCGGGGGTAGTGGTAGTTTATAGCGAGCAGCGGGGAGTACATAAACGGTAGTTTGGGGCGTAGAAAAAGGGGAGGCAGGCATCGAGTGGATTTCTCGACAAGGAGCTCAAGTGGACTCTCGAGTTCTTGACGCCTGGCCTCCCGCCGAAAGGAGGTAAAAGATTTTCTCGGCAATCACTGTGTCTCAGGACGAGCCACAACAGTACTGTTGCGGTAATCCAACCGCGAGGCACCGAGCGAGTCGTAAAGTCGGGAATCCACCCACTTCCTTTTCTCTTTGCTAGTTCGCTGCCTCCCCTCTCTATCTCTGAGGGTAGGCGATTAAGTACTACTCCCCGGGAGGCCTCAGTTGTCTCTGATCTTTCCTCCCCTGCCCCCTTTCCTTTCGACCCAGCAGCTCCCGACCACCCGGCGCTGTCCCCCGCCCCAACTCCTACCGTCCATTGCCGTCCTCCTTGCCGTTGGCGCTACGCGCGACACCAGCTGCACCCCCTTTTTCCCTTCGGAAGACTGGATTACCCGCCCTTTCGGTTCCCTACATGCGCGCACGTGCACTCCTGTTCCGGTTCGCGATCCGTTCGTCCACGTTTACACGTGGGGTTCAGTTCTTCCTCAACAGTACTGTAAAGCCAAATGTTGTGAAACGTATGCCACCCACCATACGTGTCTCACAGAGAGCTGAGGAAACCAAATCATTTGTCGTTAATCAATCAACAAATCAACGAGTTTGCGGTATAGTCATCCACACCAAGAAGTGCACCCCCATGCAAGGTTCCAACAACATGCAATACTCGCATCTTGCACTTATGAATAGCACACAAAATACTCGGTTACAGGCGTCTGGCGCCTCTCGGAACGACTCTGCTCAGCGTATGCAGTTAGCAACTCGCGCTTTGCACGGTGCAAATGACAAACTGCATCCTCGATACCTGAATTGTTCACCATTTCCTCACCTCTGGTAAAGCAGGCAATTACTTCCTCAAAACCTGGAATAACACACTCATTTGATTCTATCCCTTTGGTTCCATCTGCACTCGTCTTTTCATGCTGTGTTGTGGTTGTGTCGGTGACCCTTGCGTGTCACTGGAGTAAGACGGAGAGGATCTGTGGGGTCTGTTGGAAAGGATGATCCGTTTACTGTTGGGCATCTTCGTGGCCGCGTCCTCATCTAGGACAGGTGTCTAACAGCGATGCAAGGTATGATAACCTGTGTTCACCGAAAAACCCCTGCATTACGCATTACTCAGGGCCATTCCAATCATCGTGATTGGCAATCACGCAATCACGTCAATAAATGGTGCCTGCTCCCTTGTGGTTGGTTGTTTATATTACGTTTCCTAAAAAATGGTCATGCTTATTAAGAGCATCTCCAGCCCTGCAGCTAAATCTATTCCAATTACTAATTGGAATAGATTTAGCTGCAGCGTCCTAATAGGACGCGAGTCAGTTTTCTAGCTGGTCGCTGTCTTTGGGCACCCCATGTTCCAAATTGTTTGCAATGCGCTATGCCGAATGCGCTGCTCGTCTCCATCGCGCACACTCGCTAACCTGCAGGACGACATGGACTCTCTGGACGACTTTGGCGCCCTAAAACCGATGGCGCCGCTGGAGGCGGTCGAAGGCAGCGCCGCGGCGCAGGAGAATGACGAGTGCGACATTGAGGACTTCCATACAGACGATGACGAGGATGACGTCGTCATCTTCCTGACCGAGGGCATTCTCGACATTCTGTTTGATGATGCTGGCGGGGGCGAGAGAGTGCATGGCGGGTCCATAGCAGGCCGCGCGCGCAACCAAGATGCGACTACGACGCTGCAGTGGCGCGTATCAAGACCCTCTACTTCGGACTGAATGGCAGTCCTCCACAAATCAACGAGAGTACTTTTTTGAGAAGGTTTGGAATCCACCGCGAGGGCATTGACAAAATCTACAGCGTGGTCTCGACAAGACCAGAGTTTGTCCAGAAGACTGACGCTGTTGGAAAGAGAGGAATCCATCCTCTTCAGCATATCCCCGGAGCCTTGCGAGTGTTGCGATATAGTGTTGCATACGATGCTGTTGATGAAATCGTCGAAGTGTCGGAATCGGTGATGGCTCAGACCATGAAGTCATTTTGCAAAGCTATAGTGCAAGAATTTGGGGAGAAGTATCTACGCGAACCTAATGAAGATGACCTAATGCGCATACTTGCAGTAAATGAGTCGCGCGGGTTTCCTGGGTGTTTGGGAAGCATCGATTGCCAACACTGGGAGTGGAAGAATTGCCCGGTAGGATGGGCCGATCAGTTCAACGGAAAAGAGAAGAAGCCGACCGTAGCGATGGAGGCCATCGCGGATGGCGAACTCTGGATATGGCATCTATCTGTGGTTCATCCTGGGTCCATGAATGATTTGAATATCATGGACAGCTCGCGAACGATGCAGCGAATCCTTGCAGGCGAATTCCCCCCGCGCATACCCTAGAACATCAACGGTACAGCATGTACCTTGCCCTTCTACTTGGCAGATGGAATATATCCGTCGTGGGCAATCTTTGTGAAGACTGCAAAGGGCTCAAACGAGCGCAAGGCGAAATGCTTTTCGGCTCATCGTGAGGCGGTCAGGAAGGATGTTGACCGTGCCTTCGGGGTACTCGTCTGGCAGTATCACATGCTACGACGTCCGTGTCGTATGTGGGACAAGAACGATGCAATGGACGTACTGCGCGCCTGTGTAGTACTACACAACATGTATCGAGAGGCGCGACGTGACAACTACAACGTCCCTCTGTACGCGCACGCTACATCTCGTGAGCCATTCATGAGCGCAGTTCAATTCATTCCTGACGCTGACGTCGACTTCCGCTGGGAAAACTCGGCGTCCGTCAGCAATTTAGCTCCTGCCGGGACATGGGCCGCTCTTGCTGCAGCTCGACGTGCAGAATCAGAATCAGAGGTCGCGCACTTCGAGCTGCGCTACGATCTAGAGCAACATCTTTGGCTTTGGAAAGACGCGGTGAGGCTGGCGCTTGGGGCACACGAAGCGGGATAAAACGTATGACGGTGGAAGGAATTCAGTTGCCGGTCGCCGCAGTGCGCTGCGTAGAGTTCTGCAGTGATGTCACTTTTCCCAGCCGCGTACGTACACGGACGATCTGTGGGAGAACGGGAACGATGAGGTTAGTAGTAGCCGCGCTCGTCGCACGCAGCAGCGGGGGAAAGGAGTCGCGAGAGCGAGGCGGATGGGGATACTTCGGGTGTCGAGTTTCGAGACTTTTCGCCGGCGCTGTCGGAGGGTAGCAAGTTACCCCCGAGGGTCGGTCGGGATACCGCCCTCGGATTTTAATATATCCCGATTTCCCGCCGGCGCGTCGAACGGATAATTTCCCTTTTTCCGAGATTTTGGGCTAACCAAATAAACTGCAATTTCTATCTTCCCAGACACCCCCTGCTGGCCCTAAATTTGGGGCACGCGGCGCCGGCCGACCGGCCGTCGACACCAACCCTATATGGATCTGACGCCGCGCCGCCGCTGCGCCGTACTCGATCCCTTGTCCTGACAACGCAACCTTCTGGATTTGCGTAGGGTAAGGGCGCTTGCTTGTTGAGTTATTCTCCCCTTCTCTCACCGCGCCCTTTCGGACCCCCAAATCCACCGCGGACCAACAGCTTCCAGTAGTCACCACCTGCGCACGCCCACCGCCAGCCCTCGCTATACACTGGCTCAGTTCAGCGTCCGCTCAATCTCGCGCACCGCATCGCTGCTCCGCCGCTCGACGTCGCGCACCGTTTCACCACTTCGCTGGTTGTCCTCGCGCATCGCATCACCGCTCCGCTTCTCACACCACATCGCCGCTCCGCTTTTCCGCCATCACTCCAGCGCGCCGTTGCTTTCCCACCTCCGAGCTTCCACCAACGACAGGCCGTTTCCTCCGCGAGTCAGCGCGCGACCTCCTCGAAACTAAAGAGTGCCGGCATGCAAGGGATCGGGGGTCGTGCGCTTCCTTGCGTGATGGCAGGTCTGTGGCTCGTTGAGGGTAAGGGGAGGCTTGCGGTCGAGATGATGGCGTGGCTCGGAGGAAAGTGGAGGTCTAGCGAAGTCCTCTTCGTGGCCCGGGTCCTCGAATTCACCTTCAGTCGGGAGAGGATTGCTCAGAGGCTGAGCATCGGGACGGAAACATCGAATGTTCTTCTACGTTGGCTGTCGGATAGGAGAGGGAGGATGTTTGAGGTTGCCTTGTTGGAGAGATGGGGCTTGCTTAACGCAATGGGCGTGTCGGAGCACGAGCAGCGCCGCTGGGAGGTTCGAAGGGTGGTGATGGCTTCCGGAAGGACTCATGGCTTCCGCCCGGGTCAGTACTACGCTTCACATCGGAGCGTAGGCGGGCGCAAGACCTTTTGGAAAGTGGACTTCCATACCGTCCAGGCCAGCGTGTTGTCCGTATTCGATTCGGCAGGAAGCCCAGTTACCAGCGACATGGAAGTGACTTGTCCGGGTGGGCAGGGGAACTCCGAAGTTGGGCTTGTCTTTGGTACTCGGAAGACAGCACAAGCCTTGGAATGGCTAGACGAGCACTGTACCAGTCATCAAGACGATTTCGTTGTTATTGGGGGTCTCGGGCATCGCGAAGCCACCGGACTCACTAGGCCTTATCGTACGCACCAGGCACTCTTCTGCCGCGCAACACACAGCGAGTGCGTGCGTGCTTCCTTCGCTAACGCGCTACACTCCGTTGTAGGAGAAGATCCGGCACTTGGAATGCTCCGCAAAGGACCCATCAAAGCTCGAAGCCTTGCAGAGTTACAGACCTGGAATGAAAAGCATCTCGGGAGGTATCGCCTCA